TAAATACCCCTATCTTAGAATCCCAAATTAGTCAGTAACTTTAGTTAGAGAACTTACCAGTTCCAGAAGGAGGATGGAATTGTCCCCAATCATATAAATGGCTGGATTTGTCAGTATTCTTATTGCTTATATTTCCTAGAAAACAAAGATGACCTGTTATCTAAAAGCAACATAATCATACACACATACACACACATATCTTGATATGTATAAAAATATATGCACACATAAATATGCACACATATAAAATATATGTGTGTATATATACACACATATGTATAATAGCTATACACATATATATACACATATGTGTATAATAGCTATATAATATTACCTATAAGTATATTTAATAGTGCAATGATATAATTTTTCAAATCTATTTATTTTAATTGATGTAATTTTGGGATACCCACATCAGGTATTGCTACTGTAATATACCCCAGGGATAGTATAATTTCTTATAAAACATAATATCTATATAATAATAGAGATGTTTATAAAGAAAAGTAATTGACTTCATAAACCAAGATTTGATTTTTATTTTAAACATTATAATACAGGAAAGTGTAAATGTTTATAGGGATCAAAATGTGGTTTCACCTTTTTAGTTATAATAATGTTAATGCTTAAATAAAACAGGACCATATTTGAATACACTGATAGGGACCTTTTTTATCTTAAATTTACTGACATGGGGTCTTTGTTGTCATATAAATTCCATTAATTATATGTTATCAACTGAGAAGATGGGAACTAAAATTGTGAGTTTAAAAAAAGTCACTCTTTCCCCATCCATTACCTGAAGCAAGGTGTTTTCTGTAAATTCTTTTTAAATAACAACATTATAACTGTCATTGAGCAAGCCATTTCCTTGCTAGGCATATTTGTAAGTATTTTGAATATATCATGTTATACAGTTATCACAAGATTAATAAGGTGTTTTGTATATTATCATTTACTTGACTCAGGGAGGATAAGGGTCTTTCAGGGGTGCTGAAGTGGTTGGATATAGATAGGAAGATAGACATGGATTGCTCTCTTTAAGTCAATTTTCACAGTAGCATTGTTTGCTTTTGCAGTAATGTGTGACTTCACTGCCAAAAGTGGATTCACTCATTATTTATTTATGACCTACTCCATGCTAGGGACTTGTTATAAGCTCTAAAAACCAACATTAACAACATAGTCACATATCCTTTATTTCTTGAAAATTATATTTCATGGAAGAATTCTGACAATAAGCAACAAAATAAATATACAAATTATGGAATATTTTATGTATTAAGTGCTATAAAATAGCACAACGTATTAGGAATTGTAGTGTGGGAATATAAATGAGGTGATCAATGTGGATTATGTGGAAAAGGAATTTGTACCATGCTTGCCCAACATTCAAAATAGAGGCCACCGTCACTATTAAGTTTCTGAGGCTAGAATATGCATTGTTTTTGGTGGAACATCAGAATGGCATTATGAAAATAAAGTGTGTTGAGTAAGAAAGAAATCAATGTGATAAAAATATGAGATCAGATCATGTATGGCCTATGATAAATTGGAAATATTTGGGTATTTTTTCAAAAAAGATTTATTTTATTTATGCATCCAAGAACTGGAGTGTAGGCCAGAGGTTGGTGGGGTGGTGAGAGGATTCAGCAGAGACAGAGTGGGGAGCAAAACAAAAGGATTGGCTGAGATACACTGCTGAGGGGAGCAGCAGGCGAGACAGGAGAGATCTTCTGCACCATGTGGGTTAGCTCCCTGGCCTGGGATAGAACTCATACTGTAGTGGTTGCCAATAGCTTCATTGTGCTGAGACTTAACCCCTTATACCACCAGGGAACCCCATAAATTGGGGGATTTAATGAGAGAAATAACATGATCTAGCTGTTACTCAAAATCACAGGACTGCAAACTTGAGAATGAGATTTTGGCAAGGATAGAAGTTGATAGACATGTGGGGCCTCCCTGTTGGCGCAGCAGTTGAGTGCTGGGTTGCGAAGCTGCCCGCGGCCTCTGCGGCGCCAGTTCGATCCCCGGCTGCTCCCCGGCCACCGGGGGAGGGTCCCCACATGGCAGGCAGACCTCTCCTGCCGCCCGCTGCTCCCCTCCGCAGTGTACTTCCGTCCTTCTGCCTGCTCTGCTCCCCGCTCTGGCTCTGGTGAATTCTCTCACCCTCCTGCGCTTCTCACTGTACCCAGTGCATGTATAAACCAACCAACCAAACAAACAAACAAACAAACAAATAAATAAATAAATAAAAAAGAAGTTGATAGACATGTTAAAATAATCCAGATGACAAACAATGGAAGATTGTATCAAGGTGATGCCAAAATAGGAGATTAGAAGTTATTAGTTATTGCATACATTTTGAAGGTAATCAATAAAATTTACTCATAGATTAGATATGAAATGTGAAAAGAGGCAAAGAATAAAGGTGACTCTAAGGTCCTAATCCTGAGCAACTGAATTAATAGTGCTGATATTTAAATGTAAAAGATTTATGAAGCATTTTTGTAGAGGTATTTATTAGATGCCCAGGTACTTATTCCATACAGAGTTGTATGTTGATCCTGGAATTCCAAAGAAGTGGTTGGAAGGTTTGCATGTTAATTTTAAAGGTAAGGGGGGGTTAGATTTTTGCAGAGATCTAACTTGAATTTCATTTCCATTTTCACTGGCTTATTTTGATTTCTTCATGAAAATAATGTTTTTCCTGGCCTCATGCTGGCAGTATAAATTAACACTATATGAAACTAAATGTAACTGTAATATTCATTCATTTTTCTATAATTTTTTGTGTTGTTTTATCATCACCATTCATAAATTGTTTACTTGTGTATATTTATTGGATTAAGGGGGTGGATTATAAGATTGTAACTTGTCATAGAATTATTAGTATGTCTAGGATATTACAATCATTAGATACAAAAAAAAAAATGTCCTGTTGAGAATGAATAGCATATCTGAACTGATTATACTTTAATCAGATCAAGGTCAGTGGATTGGAACGCCACAGGAACCAATTTGTTTCATCTAGTGTAAAAGTGATGTTTTCTAATCATAGACAGTAATCTCTCACCATGGGGAGCCTTGTCCAGAAAACCTACTGCATGTGATACAAGGTACACCTGGAAGAATATCTATGACTCAGCACAGATTAATCACTACAGCTGACTACATAAAGAGTTTTCCATGTAGTTTTCCCACATATGGTTTATGTGGGAAGAAGGATATATTATTCCAGAAAAGACTACATATTTCAATATTGTTCTCCTCAGTGCAGAGAATGGGTTCATAAACATATTATGCCATGGACCACTTTGTCAATCTGCTCTCAAATGAAAATTTAAATGTTTAAAATAAACTAGACAATATTACAAAGGCAGTGTGTAATATTGACTTACCAAAAAAAAAAAAAAAAACTAAAAAGTAGTTTATAAATCAGTGCTTTATATAAAAATCACAGTGGGTTTATTAGAAACCATACTATAAAATTAATAATCAGTCTAGTGATATTTCAAAATGTCTACAATATTAATAATAGGAAATGAAAATATATAGTGATTTTTGGGGGTACGAAGTCACTAGAACTGCAACGTTGTGATTTGTTACCTATAGTCTTCTTTGATTAAAATGCTGTCACAGTTAGAATGAAGTGAAAAATTATCTTCTAGTAGTCCAAGTTCTAGCCTCTGAATTGAACAATTGAGGTAGTTATCTGAACTACTTTTAAACTTTGATGGCAAAATTGTCACTATTTCATCTAGGAAGGACTACAAGATTTAATATTAAATATTAATTTTTACTTTGAGTCTATTTCAAAATACAACTGTTCTAACAAGAAGGGGAAAATGTCAATAAAAATGTATGCCAGGGGCCTCCCTGGTGGCCTGGGGGTTAACTCTCAGTGCTATCACACTATCACCACTATGGACTGAGTTCGATCCTTAGCCAGGGAGCTAACCCACAGGGCACAGCTGTCGTCTCCTGTCTTGCTGACTGCTCTGCTCAACAGTGCATTTCACTGGATTCACCTGTTCTGCTCCCCATTCTGTCTCTGGTGAATCTTCTCACCTACTGAACCTCTAGCCTACAACACAGTTCTATGCATAAATAAAAAATGACAGATAATTTGAACCTATTTTAATAAACATGTACTTTTGTATCATTTCTCTTAAATTTTGAAGACTCTCTAGAAATCAGTAGTTATATGATTTCTTAAATAAATCTTTTATAATTTTGTATGGTAAGATACATTTTAAAAAACAGAAAATCATATGTTGGTGCTTCCCCATTCACAACATTGATCATCTGGGCGCTTCCTAAGAAAATGTTTAGAAATGTAAATTTTAGCAATTTTTTTTAAACTGAAGTGGAGGAAAAATTAAGAAAAAATCCTTAATGTATAATTATTAATTTTACTTGAAGAACACTTTTGTAAATATTTGTAATTCCATAGCTACTATAAATATTTCATTTGTATTATCTCAGTTCTTTACATGATGCTTTTGAGTACTTTCCATGGGCAACAAATGTAGTGATAATATATAAGTTAAAAATTATTTGTGTATTTCATCATTAAGGTACGATAAAAGGACATTAAGGAAATTAAACATAAAGGAAATTAACACAAATAAAAACACTGAGTTATGAATTTTTTCCACTTTTATTTAAATGCTTTGATAGCAATTCACTTAAATGTCTTTTAAATTTTCTAATTATCTGTAAGCATGTTTTTCTTCAGCAATAGGCAATGACAAATCAATTGCTGTGGTTTTTTTTCTTAAGTTGATACTGTGTTTGAGTAGACAAAACCAGAGTCTAGGGCCTCTCTGTATTTCCATTTATTTCCTCATTTATATTTTCTAAAGGTCTTTCAAATTTATAGCAATTATTCCGCAATGATATCAATTCAAAAGAGAATCCTTATATTTTATCAAGTAAAACAAAAATTCTAATTGATCCCATAACCTATGTTAACTTTTTTCTATTCTTTCTAGGCTGAACAGGACAACGGTCATCCTCTTCCTGCCTTTGCCAGTCTACATATTGAAATATTGGATGAAAACAATCAGAGCCCGTATTTTACAATGCCTAGCTATCAAGGGTATATCCTAGAATCTGCCCCAGTGGGAGCAACCATTTCTGACAGTCTCGATTTGACCACTCCTCTAAAAATTGTAGCTCTGGACAAAGATGTAGAAGATGTAAGTGATATATAATTTTTCTCTTATTTTGTTAACACATTTTTGTTATATTTATATCAACAGGAAAGATTACATGACATGGTTATGGTAGATGTAAAATAGAGAACAAAGTCAGTATGAGTATCTTTTTTATTTCAATTCTGTGTCATGGAATTGAATTTTGCATCTTTGTTCATTTTTTTGTACAATGATTGATTTGTCCTCTCAGGTATACTTTCCATAAAATTCCCACCGCCAGGTCACCTGTAAACCATCACCCTAGTCTCCTCTGCTCTTCCAGCCTATTTTAATCCTTCTTCCTCCCCATTCCCTGCTGAATTTCTCAGATTTATAGTTGCCTGCTAGTTTTGCCTTTTTTTTTCTCCCGGATCCCTTATTTAGTCACCCTATATATATTTTTAAAAGTATTTCTGAATTCAGAAACTTCATTTTTAGTTTAGAGATATTCAGCATAAGGAAGAAAGTGAATGTTTTACTTGGAGTTTGCTTCATTATTAATAAGGGTTGAAAGTTATTTAACTATTGATGGGGAAAAATAATGCCATCATAAAATAAATATCAAAAATCATGGAAATAGCCCTTGAATGTAATTTTGGGGGACCTCTAGCCTGATGAGATTATTAAAGAAAATGGGGAACATTTACAATCCCACTTCTTTTTGTGTCTGATTTTTCTGGTACTGAGACTACCTGAGTGGGAAATGTTCCAGGCTGGCAGAGTATTTCACCTCCTTAGCCAGAAAAATTGTTATAAAGAGTTGACAGAAAATCCATACCATGCCAGTAAGAGTCCTTCCAGGAATAAAAAGGATGGTGGTGGGGGTAGGGGGAACTAGATTTGGAAGACTTTGGCATCTTATATTAAATAAGTGGCAATAAATCTGTAGCCATTGTAGCCATGTGTGCTTGCACTACAGAGATAGCCCATTATCTGAGTATGAAGTCTGACTAGATACAAAGATAAGAGTTCTGCTGAGTCTATAAGGCCCACAGAGCTATGATAATATTGTCCAAGATATATTTTTAACATATTTTGAATTTAATTTCTGTCCATTTTAAGTTAAAAAGTCCAACTCAGCAATTTATCCCTCTGCCACAGCAGTCAGACAGAACTTTCTGTGATAATGGGAATTTCTGTAGTTACACTGCCTAGTACAGTAGCTGCTAGTCATATATAATTGTACAACATTTGAAATGTGACTACACTGAAAACAGGAATTTAACAATTTAATTTTAATTAAGTTTGCATAGTCATGTGTTGCTAAAACTTGGACATCATGGCTGTAGAAAATCTCCTAGATGTCATTATATGGAGCTTTATCATCAGTGTAATAAATTAAGCGGGCATTTTCAGAATTTTTTTTTGCTCTTTTTGTTAAAATTTTATAATTCTTAGCAGAGGCTGTGACAACTTTCATGTGTACTCCACTTCTTCTCACCAGATATTTTCTTTTACTCATATCTAATTTGCTTTCTTCTCTCATCCCATTGTTTTTATCCATCTTTAGTCTCTCCCATTTTTTTTTCTCATTTTATGTTTTAAAAATAGCCAGCATTGAGTTCTTAGTACCTGAGGACAATTAGTAAATGCTTCACATTGCATTGATTCTGTTAAATTTCACAGCAAATATATGCAAGTTCCCATTCTGAAGAAGGGAAAAATGGGTAATTTAAATGTTATTCTCTCATCCTAGAGTTAGTTAATGGTGGAGCTCATTCTGTAACCAAGGTTCACAAGTAACAAAGTCCTTGAGTTTAAAGTCTAGTCTAGAAGCCCCTCTTAAATCTTAGTTGTTTTGACAGTAGTCTATATTAGCTGATCGACATTGTAGGCTTTCTTTCTAGAAAAGGGCATGTACTTACACAATTTCACATCACAGTTCATGGGATTTAGAGATACTCTGAAGCTTAATGGGTTTCGTTAGATACAGATAAAAACTCTTAGTGAATCCTTGATAGAAAATATATATAACATTTTTAATCAGTTGTATCCAAGCTAAATTAATATATGGTGTAGGCTTGGTGATGTCCCACACATTTTGGTGTAGATTTTATTTCATTTTTTTAAATTTGAATGCATAATCAAACATGTATTGTCAATCTGGAAATTTTTTTAAAGATTATGTATACAAGAACTGGGGTGTAAGCCAGAGGTGTGGGGGGTGTTGGGGTGAGAGGATTCACCAGAGAGATTGGGAAGCACAACAGGCAGATCTATTGAAATACACTGTTGGGGGGGAGCAGTGTGCAAGACAGGAGAGGTCTGTTGTACCATGTGGGATTCTCCCTGGCTGGCTGGGCATCAAACTGGTGTTTTAGTGGCTGGCGATAGCTTGATAGCATAGTGTTGTCTTTATACCCTGTGCCACCAGATAGGCCCCAATTCAGAAATTTATAATAGACATGGAGACTAAATTCTAAAAAATACTAAATTTAAAAAAATATGAAGTTGTAGATTTTCCATAACAACTTTTATTTCTTTGCACTGGCCCTGTGTATTTATATTAGTTAATGGTTTTATATTAAGCTCTATGCTTTGCTTATATAGATTCTTATTTATCTGGATTACTACACAATTTAAAATTAAAAATGTTACATTTGTGTTCTAGGATATTTTGTAAAAGGTCAGTGATAAACAAGATATTGCCAAGGTGGGGTCCTGTGTCTAAAATATTGGAGAACATTATCTGAAATTCTACATTTAGAGGTTATTAATGCCATTAGCCTATTTAATTCTCAGATGATTCTAAGCAGTAGGGCAACATGTTATGGTCCTTGGCAGTTTGCTTTGGAGCTGGTTAGAGAATTTTTACAAATCTCTTCACTGAGCCTCACATCGCCCCGTTTATTCAGTCACCTATATGTTTTGTAAAAATGTCAAGTAATTATAAAATGTGTATCTACCCATCCTCTTCCTAAAATTATCTAGTGAGAGGTTGCCAGTAGGTGCCCAGAAAGTGAACATGTTAAATCCTTTAAGGAAAAAGGATTCTAAAATTTCACAAATAGCTTCTATAAAACCATAATTTACATAAAAAAGAACATTAGAAATTATTCCAATTTCTTAAACTATGTGACATATTGTCTTTTAAACCCATTCCTTATGAATTGATATAGAAACCTAATAGTCATCCTGGACTTTTTTTGACTCAAAACAACTAAGAAATCTTTGAGTTCTTCTTGTGCTGTCCTCAGAATATTCCTTGACTCACTACTCCCCATTCGTTTTACATTATCCACTTTCCTATTTTTTATTTGAATGATTTCCTGATCCCCTTGCTTCCATTTTTTCTTACTCAAATCCATATTACTAAGCCACATTTTTTCAAAAGCTCAAATCTTATTATATCATATTTTGTTTAATATGAGGACCTCCATTTCTCTATAGAAGAAAATATGTTTATGTATATTGACTTTCTGCTATTTAATACAGCACCATTTCTTTGAACCTGAACTTCATTTCTGCATTTGTACCTTCATTTGTCAAGCTGATCCTTACCTAATTAATTTTGCTACATTTTTTCATGTTTGGATGTCTTTTATGTCCCATTATACAAGCTGGCTTGGATGACCTTTGCTCAGTATTTAGAATTCATTCCAGAATATTTTCCAGACTATTCATTCCCTACATTGAGTTGCATATTTTTCCTAGGTGCATTTCTCTAATGTTAACCTTCCAACTTTGTAGTACGTGTATTTCTCCTCATTGAATTTAAATCCTTTAAAGATAGGTCATACATCTTGGTAATTCTTAAATCCTGAAGATCTAAAACAATTCCCCAAACTTAGTAAGTTCTAGTAATTTTTTTTTGTTATTACCTTTTTTTAATTTATTTTTTTTTATTTTTATATTCCCCAAACAATTGCGACCCACACCCCCCATAGAATGTCTCTGGTTCATAGTTGTTTGTTGATTTTGATTTTTACTTTCTTATAGTTATTCATTTTCCTGGTCCCTTATTTAAGTTTTCTAGATTCCTGCTATGAGTGAGACCATCCGGTATTTTTCTTTTTTCTTTCTGGCTTACTTCGCTGAGCATAAGCCCTTCCAGCACCATCCATGTTGCTGCAAATTGCATGTGTTTATCTTTTTTGAATGCTGAGTAATAGTCCATTAAAAATGAAGTAATAAATTCAGAAAGAAAAATGTTTGAAGATGGATATATGACCTTCCAGATCATCTCTTCCTACATGTCATTCATCCTTTATTTTAAGAGATAAACTAGTTCTATGCTAGTTATTTAAAGAAATTTTCAAGCCCCTTTTATTTCACAGTTACAGATTTTACTACATGGAAAATTCTTGCTGATGTTGAATCATACTTAATAAATTAATCAGCATAGGGATGCAGGTTTTAAGAAAGAAATCAGAGACATAACCCCTCCTGTAGGTGTCACCAACAGAAGCAGAGATTGAGCATCAGGCTTCAAAAGGGAAGTTGTGGGAGTGCAAACTGTTCCAACCACTGTGGAAAGCTGTATGGAGATTTCTGGACCTACTAAACATAGAGCTTCCATATGATCCAGCAATTCCACTCCTAGGTATTTCCCAGGACACAGAAACATCAATTCAAAGACACTGCTATGTTTATAGCAGCATGTTTACAATAGCTAAGCTTTGGAAACAACCAAATGCCAAAATAGATGACTGATCAAGAAGATGTGGTACATATATACATGGAATTACTCAGCATTCAAAAAAGATAAACACATGCAATTTGCAGCAACATGGATGCGCTGGAAGGATCATGCTCAGCGAAATAAGCCAAAAAGAAAAAGAAAATACCGGATGGTCTCACTCATAGCAGGAATCTAGAAAACTTAAATAAGGACAGGAAAATGAATAACTATAAGAAAGTGAAAATCAAAATCAACAAAAACTATGAACCAGACACTTTTAGCTGGGAGGGGATTGGGGTCAGAATGGGCTGCAATTGTATGGAATATAACAATAAATTTATTAAAAAATAAATAAATAAATAAATAAATAAATCTTTAAAAAAAAAGGGAAGTTGTCACTGCAAGAGTAGTTTCTCCTGAAATGCTTCAAGAACACCTATGTCAAAAGACAAATGACAAAGAGTAGTTTTATTTGGAACTGCTCGTCCAAAATAAATTTGTATTTCTTCCTTCAATTAAATGGAATGTAAGACAGGTTTAAGAAATATTAACAAAAATTGGTGAGTTGTGTTTTTAGCAGTGTAGACTTCCAGTCAGAAGGAATCTTAAGGGTCACAATGAAACTGAAAAAAAAAAAAAACATGTATAGTAATGTTCCATTTCTATAGATATACAGCTACCAGCATATATCATCTATCTGAATCACATTTATGTTTTTCAAGTACCTCATATTTTTTAAAATATTCCAAAATATAATTACAACAGGTAATAATATGATTTTTAGTTGTCATATAGAGATCACTGGGTTTCAGTGTGGATCCAATTAAAATTGATTATTATATACTGGTTACTAAAAATAGCAGGGAGTAATAGTTAACATGGCAGGCATTTAATCTGTAAAAAGACGATTCACTTATTATCACCCCATGTCATTGCACATCCTTGTATAAAATGTTATTGCTTCAAAATAAAGATAACTTTGAATTTTAATATAAGGTACTATAAAAGTAAGAGTATTGTAATGCTCTCATATATATGTGTTGATGTGGCAGGATTCTAAGAAAACAGTATACTTTGGGAAAAGTTGTTTAAGTGAACTGAAAAATGTGTGCCTTTTTAAGCTGACATATTCTTATATGCCACACATATGTGACTATTTATATGTACATTTTTATTTCATGTTTAATTTGCATATAGGTTCCACCTGGTGGAGTTCCTGTAGGTACTAGGTGTTATTTTGTGTTTGCTCTTTTATTACTTGCTGTGATTTATTGGCTTTTTCTGTTCTACTGAAACAAGTAGATAATTTCTTTTTATCATTTATAAAGACATCTTTAAATATTTGCACATAAACATATCTTAAATATACTTACATCATATTATTTGATATAGTAGCATAAAATTGGAGTTCAGACTGCATATGAACTAAATGTTTAAATTTTTAAATTAATAATATAAATTATTAAAATATCTTAAATACTATTAAATATTTTATTTCATTTTTATTATTTTATATATTTTTCACACCATTCTTAATTTTTGTACAATGTTCCCTTTTTCGTCTCAGATATAGTCCTCATAAAATTCCCACCACCAATTCGCCCATGCACCATCACCATAGTCCCTTGTAGTCTTACATCCCCTGTTTTGATCCTTCTCCCTCCTCCCCCACTGCAGAATATCTCAGGTTTATAGTTGAGTGTTGATTTTGATTTTTACTTTATGATAATTTTTTTTCCTGATCCTTATTTGGACCCCTACCGTCCTCCTATAAGTGAAACCATCCAGTATTTTTCTTTTTCTTTCTGGCTTATTTTACTGACCATGAGTAAATATTTTTTTTTAGTCTGTGAAAAACATTGTAGTTCATCAGTGCCTTCATTTTCAAAGGTTCCAAGTTTAGAGTGGAACTCTTTTGATAAAAGGATCTTCAGAAACTACTGTCAACTAATTGAAATTGGCAAATCAGATTTAATTTCTGTCATTTTCCAGATGTGCTTTATAATCTATATGTATTATATGTATACATCAGTATGCATACATATATAAGTGCATTTATATATACTTACATGTTTATGTGTTGTGTGTACATATGCATGAAAATACATATAATATTGTGTGTTTGTGTGATATCATATTTTGATAACCATTCAAATCCAGTATTGGTTTCAAATATGATAAACAGTCATGTTTAAATTAATATTCAATATGATGTGATTTTAAAATTTTATATTCATATATATTTACCTTCACATTCTATATGTGCTTACTTTCACATTCTTTTTTTGTGTTTTGAGGTACACAGGTAACAGAAATCAGGTGTCAGAGTTTATTTTACCTTCCCTGGAAAATAATGCATAATTCCGTGAAGTAAAAATTCATAATTTTGTTATATGCTGAATGTATACTATAGATTAAGTGTACAATCAGTGCGTTAGAAGAGGAAAATATGTATTAATTAGTCCACTGTGTACATATTGATGTATAAAGTGAATACTTATTTTCAATGCATTTGAAAGACATAAGGACTACATAAAATCTCTCCCTATTAAGATAGTAACCTAGAGAATTATCTATCCCTTTGCACTAATAATATACCATACCTGAAACTAATATGATTCTTACAAGTAAATATAAAATATTAAACTTTAATTGATCATTGTGTGAACATTCGCAGGTCTGACTTCTGAAGTATGGTGCTTAAAGAATATCTAAATATTTACCAATAGCATGTCCTTGGCTACATATAGATTTAAAAAAAAAGTTTTATTTAAAATATTCATTAACTGTTAAAGCCTGTATTTTAATCAGAGATGAATGTGCTAAAATATGTCATGTACAATGTTAGCTTTAGTATTCTTTTTTACATAAAACAAATAATCTACAGTTATGGGAAATATTTTAGCTTAGCTGGTTATTATGAAAGGGCTCAAGAAGTAGAAGCAATTAAATTTTCAGAAGTTCTTTAATGTTTCTGGTTATCAAATATAAGAGTTTGCTTATGGAATCCTGTATTTATATCATCTTTGAATGGGAAGCATTTGACTATGAAAATCTCATGGTCTTCATAAATTGAATGGTGGCGTTTTTTTAGTCATACAACTGTGTTATTACACCACAGTGTAATAATGAAATTCTGTAAAATAATGATATTAAAGAGTTCATTAGGTTATATTTAATTGATGTTTCTATTTTATTCTTCTTTCTGCTATTTTTCCTTTTATACAGTTTTCTTCTTAAACATCAGTATAATTTTATACTGGTGTACTACTATATTAATTATACTAGTATTTATCCTGTATTGCATTTTCCACAAAATGAATCATTGTTTTTTAACTAGATCAGTTCAATTATGAGTAAATAATATAACTATTTTTTAAAAAATTCTTAATAGCAACATATATTTTTGTAATATATATAAAATTGAAAAATTAATTTGCAGGTATTGGACTATTTATCCTAAATTTTAAACAATTACTTTTTTCCTTAAGACAAAAGATCCAGAGCTTCACCTTTTTCTGAATGATTACATCTCGGTGTTCACCGTCACGCAGACCGGTATCACTCGCTACCTCACCTTACTTCAACCAGTGGACAGGGAAGAACAGCAAACCTATACATTTTCGGTAAAGAGATTATATATACTATATATAAATTTATGTATGTAGCATCATATGTCTATTAACAACAAAAGGTCAGTGTTTTAAAAGGAAAAATATTTTCAAATAATGTCATAGAAAATATCAGTAATAAAATCTGTCGCATGGATTTCTTCTTTTTTTTTTTTTGTAAGTTGTGTAGCTGTGTTTCCATAATTCTCAAGAAAAGAAAATTAAATTTCATGTTAAAAACAAGAAAATGGAAGTTTTATTCTTTACAATACATCCATGGTTGTCTTACACTGAGATAACATAGTCCACAAAGTAAAAAAAAATTGCATCGAATTTTATTCTTGTTATGCATTTTTAACTTTGTAATAAGATTAAGCCAGTGATTAGAACTGCTGATGATCCTTGCCACCCTCCCCAACATGCTTTAATATCTGGAGACATTTGTCATTATCATTACTGCTAGGCAGTGCTACCAGCATCTGTTGAACATCAGGGATGTTGCAAAATATCTTACAATCCATGGAACATCTGTTCCAAAATGTCAATTGCATTGAGATAGAGAAATAAAGAAAAAAAGAAAAAAGAAAAGGGAAGATTATTAAAGCTGTGCTTGTAAATAGTTATCATCATGAGGTAGAAAAACATATAATGACAATTGACAGATGATAGATTGAGAAAAACATGCATACACACACACACACACACACACACACACACACACACACACACACACACACACCAGATAGGACTAGTCAGGTTGAGAAGTGAATCCAGGTAAAACTGCAGTTATAACTATTATCCATATTCTTGAACTTCATTTTATTTATAAACAAGGGATCAATGAGCTAATAGAAAGGTACAAGAAGAACTTGAATTGTAGTGTTGATTCTGCTTCTCTGACTTTCTAAAATAATTTATTCAAGATATTGCCATTAAATAATATCAATGAATCCTTTAAAAGTTGCCATTTATGAATTACTAGAAACATTGTACATATGTAGGCACAAACCTCCTTGACTGATACAAACATATTGACTATAAAGGCAATTACTGCATTGTATAGAAAATGTGTAAAAATGTGTACTATTTTACTATTAAATATTTAAAAATTAAACAGTAGTTAGCAACTATGAATGAGCGATATTATTGACCTCCTGCAAGTTTCTATTTTGCATGTTTGCTAATGTAAAATATACTTGGAATTGAAAACATTAAAAATAGAACATTCCTCCATAATTGCTTCTTAATATATTAAAACATATTGATTAGATATGCTAGATTATATATACTATTATAATTTTATGACTTTATTCAACAAAAATGGTAGCATGCTTTTTAACTGTAAATTGCATATAGAAACTTTAATGGTAAGAGTGAATTCTGTACTGCTTATATTTGCAAGATTTTTCTACTAAATACATTTTTCTGCCCTCACAGATAACAGCATTTGATGGTATACAAGAAAGCAAACCAGTTATTGTCAATATCCGAGTGATGGATGCAAACGATAACACTCCAACCTTTCCGGAAATATCCTATGATGTCTATGTTTATACAGACATGAGCCCTGGGGACAGTGTCATACAGGTAATTATTCACAGAACATGGAATTACATAGAGAGCATGAGAATATACTTCTATGGCATTGCACAATGCATTAGTTAATAAATTGCTAAAGCATTCTAAATGAATTTCAGATTTAAAATATAGTATAACTTATCTTAAAAAGCTTTAAATGTCTGGTTACTTTTCAAATAAAAACCTATCTATATGTACTTTAAGTTAAAATTGTTAAATATACATAAAGCTATTTGAACTCTTTATAATGATGTCTTAAAATTAATATACTGAAGTTTTGAGTATCAGATATGTAGTGTAAAAATGTAAAACATTTTGAACTACTTTAGAAATAATTGTAAAGTCTTATAGTGATATATCCAAATATGCATTAACGAATTGTTAGGCAATCAAATAGGCAGTTGTTATTTGGACATAATCAGGAATCATTTCAGCAGGAAAATTATCATTCTTTAAAAACAGAAACTGGGAAAAATCTTTATCTGTGATTTGTTTTATCATTTACCATTAAATATACTTATTACATTCAAATGAACTGTAAATTATATAAAAATATTTTTGTATACTGAGTAAATATTCTAAGTATAAATCTCAAATAGGTCATAATATTCTCTGAGGATTTTTAGAAATTGTGGAGTATTTGACTTCAGACTGACTACAAGTCAAAATATTCTAGGGAACTGTTTAGCAATATGGATTACCATGATTCACTTGTCTTTCTGAATTTGAAGCTCTAGGAGCAATACGTACATAATTGATGTTAAAAAAATAATAATAAGCCATGGATTTCATGTGCCCAGCCATGTAAAGACTACTGATCTGGGTTTTTTGTTAAACAGAGAATCATTCTCACAAAAATTTTAAGTTTCTTTCAGGCCAGGAAGATCATGATTCTGTATGTTTTTAGGATATTTAATAAGTTCAAATTATTACTGTTATATAAAATACTAATACATATATTTGGATCTACTAATTTTATTGTTTGATGAATTGTTTAGGATATTTTAAAAGCACTCCGTTTGTGTATATCAATATTTTGCAGCAGATATATTAGTTTTTCAACAGCTTTTGTTGCTAATTAGATAATCAAGTCTACCATCTGCATACTATTATGAGAAAACTATAAAGTTAGTGACTAAGTTACACATCCTGCACAAATACAGTGAAATATTTTGAAATAATAACAATAAAGATGAATCTAAAATGTTAAAATAATTAAAAATAAAAAGTGACAAGCAGTGCTAAAGCTTAAACAGTATATTTATGTTTTAATGGTATCGTCCTGGGTTTATTCTTCCTCTTTGACTCTCTATTCCTTCCTGCCTCAGACGTGCTGAACAACTGATTATTTCAATGTCCCTTGCTCTTCATTTTCTTGAATTACCTATTCTAACTTGAGCTCTATCCCTTTTAAATATTTGATTAATTTCTTCTTTTTTCCTTGCCTTCTAGGAAAGAATTTCTTAGTAGTTTCAGTAGGTGTTCCTGTAATTTTTCCTTCTCACAACCCAGCAGTTACACAGTAGTTTGTGATACAGTGCTGTGTCCAGATCCCAGTGAAAGACTGCTGAAGAAATATTTGGCATGATAAAACCAAATATTTCTTAACTTTTGTGCACTATTCTCTGTTATCTCAGAGCATTATTTTTACCACAGATTTTATAAGGTTACACTAATTTCACTATACATGACCCAGATCAAAATGATACCTCTTTGAAAACCATATATATATATATATATATATATATATGCATACAAGAGCTGGGGTGCAGGCCAGGGGTATGGGGGTGAGAGGATTCACCAGAGACAAAGTGGGGAGCAGAGCAGGCAGGTTGACTAAAATACACTAATGAGGGGAGCAGCAGATGAGACAGGAGAGGTCTGCTGTGCCATGTGGGTAGCTCCCTGGCCAGGCATCAAACGTTCTACAGTAGCTGCTTACAGCTTCATAGTGCTGAGACCTAACCCCTTGCGCCACCAGGGAGGCCCTTCTTAACAGCTTAGTGTGAATAGCCTCCCAACACACACATATTCTGTTGCAATAACCTGTGCTCTCCTCACAGTCAAAACAGTTATGACCATCTGAAGTTGTTCCTATTTTCTTCTTTTCCCCCCACCCCAAATTGAAAATCCTAAGGAATCAGCTGTCTGTCTTACATGTCAGGCCAGCACATGACAGACATATTAGTCATGCAATAAATATTTATTCACTATGCATCATTACCAAATTTGCATAATATAATTGCTAATATAAATTATAAATAAATGATAACCCTATTTATTTACTTAAGATATACTTTCTTGTGTGATATGAAAATGGGCATAATTACAGCTTGGGATCTGAAAATTACCTAAAAGTACATGTCATGTATGAATATTCTCTGTAGTAGTGGGATGAGGTTTTCTAATTACCACATATTTTATTCATATCTTTGTTGTGGTAATTGTCATATTGATGAAATCTACCTTTTACCCATTTGTCTGGAGGGCAGAACTGTATTTCTGTATCCATAGCATCAGAGTATCCATAGTTCCTGGTATATATTAAGTGCTTAATAAACTAGATTTGGGGCCTCCCTGGTGGCACAAGTTGTTAAGTCTCAGCACTGTGAACTATCCACAGCCACTGCAGCACGAGTTCGATCCACAGCCAGGGAGCTGACCTACATGGTGCAGCAGACCTCTCCTGTTTTGTCCCCTGTTCCCCTCAGCACATATTTCAGTATATCTGCCTGTTCTGCTGCCCACTCTGTCTCTGGTGAATCCTCTTACCCCCCACACCTCTGACCTGCACCCCAGCTCTTGCATGCATAAAATAAAATAAATATTTAAAAAAAATACTAGATTTTAATAGATGTTTAATAAATCTTATTTATAGGTGAAGGAAAGGAAAACCTATAGACAAATGGATATAAATGAATGACCAGGTGTAAATGTCTTTATTTCTAGTGAATTGATGGACCCAGAGAACTACATTTTTCTTTACTGAGGCACTATTTCATAGGGAGAAAAATTATAGTTTATACAGATAAAGAAATGATAGTTATTATCAAATTCATATTTAATTAGACCTGATTCTCATCAGTATAATGACATAAATGAAAATAAAAGTAAGTTTATACAGAAAAACAGTCAGCAGGGAACTAAAATGTAACTAAGGAAATGATAGTAATTATGTTGTAGAAGAATATCTCAAAAAAATGTTTGCCTTGGGGATCAAAAGCATGATTCGGGCATTTTAAGCTGAAAAAGTTAATTTCCCTTATGTATCTATAAAACACATCTTGCCTTGCCTTTAAAAATAATATTTTACATATTTCCTGGAACTCTGCAGATTATATAGGTAGATTGTATCTATATGCCTCTTATTTTTAACATTTTTTGAATGCCCCAAACTGAATCTTTTTATATCATTAATGTTTTTAATGTTATTCCTGGCCTGTGTTAAAAGAGTAACTATAAAATATCCTCCAAATATTTGAAGAAATAAAAGGAGCAAATTTCCTATTTTGAGAAAAAATTTAAAATAAAGCAATCTGCTATAGAACAGTGCTCTTTAAATGCCTTTTAAGGATCACAGAATGTGATGTTCTGCTACACTGGCCTCCACTCATAATCAACCTGGTCTTTTCTCATCAACCCAACGGAACATCAATTAGTTTACTTTATGGCCAATAACCTGAAATCAAAAGAGTAAAAGAAATAAAAACAAAAATGACTGTGAACACTATCCAGAAAAGAGAATATAGGATGACAGTTCTTAAAGTATAGATTCAGATCACTTTCAATGCATTATTTTCAATATAGTCATGAGAGAATCTTGGCTTGGTGTAAGGACATATTTAATTATTCTGTTACCTTATTTTTATGAGATAGTTTACCTTTGCCTTCAAGGAGTGAATAGTCTGACTGTAAAGATGTATGTGCCTAGGTCCTAATTAAAAGTTCTCGATTATAAACTGGTTTTTTTCACTTTATAATTCTTATCTTTGATTATTTTAAAAAGAATAAGTGATTCTGATATTTCATGTATGGCCACATTTAGATGAATACAGCCTTAAGACAGCATCTTCATCTTTCATTAACTGGAACTGAAATGTAATCAGATTATTAGTGCATCTTAAATTAAGTGGGAAATTGCTGGCATGGTCAAACTTATCTTTTCTGTCTGTTTTGCATACTTCATACTGCATGAAAGATCATTTTTGTAGCCATAAATGAGATCTTACAAATTGACACTAATGAATGTCCTGGCCTAATATTTTAAGGTCTCTTTTCACATGAAGCTAGTTTTCTTCATAAACCAATCACTCTATATTAAAGGCACAGATTTTTATATACAATTTAATGTTTTGAAAATGTAGATTTTAATCTTGGTAGTTAAAGATACAGTTCATATTCTATAGGTAATATTCCTAAACATCTGCAATTTTCTTAAATAAATGGTTTTTCATCCAGTTTAATATTATAATTTTACCTAACGAACTTTTCAAAATATTGATGCTTAGACTCCATCTTGAAATATTTTTATTTTAATAATCTTGCCATCCAGAGTAGTCACTTGGACAGATTTCACTTATTACAACAAAGCAACTCTGTCTTGCAGCTGATTTTGATAACCATTGCTTTAAATTAAGCAATATATTTGCACCTATGAATTATAATTTTAGTTCATTAAGACAGAGTCCCAGATGGAGTAGAATCTTTAATCATCCTGCTTCTTTCCGTTTTTCTTGTTATTCAGTTCTTATTTTCTTTTGTTTTGCTTACTTGTCTTCATGTTTTAAATTCTATTCTTTCTCATCATCTTCACCTGCGCTCCATTAATTTTTCGAACTATTTTCATTTTATATCACTACAATAATCTATTCCTCCCTACTGATTCTTTCCCTTGGACCAATAACAGTCTCTATGTGCTCTGATATAAACACTCTTTCCAGAAAATACTTCATGTTCCAGTTCACTTTGGTACATCATCTTATTGACACAATTCTCCAAATTTATCAGTTAAGCCAAGAGTATATATGGACATGCAGGCAGTTGCATTGACTGAAACATTCAATTTAAATAATTTTACTATTATTTTATCATTCACTATATTATTAACCTGGAGTTACTTAATCTAGCTATCACAACAAAACACCAAACTCATATAAAATCACAATTCTAATGAGTTTCTTTCTAGCTGTCAAGTTCAAAAACACTTCTCAATATTTAATCTGTGTAAAACTCTCAACTCTTTAAATATTAACATTTAAGGCATCCCTGATGGTCTAGGGGTTAAGTCGAAGCAACAGCACCATCAAGGCCTGAGTTTCATCACCCCCTCCCAACCCTCTTTCCCCACCAGCCTCCAGGATGCTAAACCACTTATTGCACAAACCTCTCCTCTCCTGCCTGCTACTCACCTTAGCAAGCAAATTTATTTCAGTAAATCCACCTGTGCTGCTCTCCACTCTGTCTCTTGTGTATCCTCTCACCCACCGCACCACCTCCGGCCTCCAACCCAGTTCTTCTACCCAATAACTAAATAAATATTTAAAGAAATATTAACAGTTAACAAAAACATTATTTAGCTCTCTGCTATTCCATCTATCTCCAGTTTTTCAGTGATCATTTGTAGGGATGCTCCCATCTCCCAAAATGTTCTGTAATGATTTGAACATCAGGATGGCATTGCAGGTATCTACTGGACATGGCAATGTTGATTTTACCAGTACTTCAAGCTGGACATATCCCAAAGTAATTAACCTATTAAATATACCACATCTTCTTGATCCAGTCATCTATTTTTGGGCATTTGGGTTGTTTCCATAGCTTAGTTATTGTAAATAGTGCTGCTATAAACATAGGGGTGCAAGTACCCTTTTGAATTAATATTTCTGTGTCATTTGGGTAAATACCTAGGAGTGAATTGCTGGATCATATGGAAGCTCCTTCTTTAGCAGATTGAGGAACCTCCACACAGCTCTTCATAGTGGTTAGACCAGTTTGTACTCCCACCAGCTGTTCAGGAGAGTTCCTTTTACTGAATATCCTCGCCAACATTTGTTGTTGCTAGTTTTTTTTTTTGTTTTTTTTTTTTAATATGTGCCATTCTCACTGGTGTAAGATGGTATCTCATTGTAGTTTTGATTTGCATTTCCCTGATTACAAGTGATGTTGAACATTTTTCATATGCCTGTTGGCCATTTACATTTCCTCTTTGGAGAAGTTTCTTTTTAGCTCTTCTGCCCATTTTTTGACTGGGCTATTTACTTTGTTTTGTTGAGTCTCATCAGCTCTTTGTAATTTTTTTGTGATCAGTCCTTTATCATTAGTGTTGTATGCAAAAATTTTCTCCCAGTTGGTGGGGTTTCTCTTTGTTTTGGTTATACAATGGAATATTACTCAGCAACCAAAAAAGATAAACACATACAGTTTGCAGCAACATGGATGGAACTAGAAGGGATCATGCTCAGCGAAAT